TCCCTCCTTGGGACAGCCCAGCGACGCCCTCACACAGCCCAAGGGCACTTAAACCAGAGCTCAGCACTGCAATGCAACTACAAGCCAAGAAAAATTAAAAAAAAAAAAAAAAAAAAGGAAAACACCCTCAAACTGGGCACTGGAATAATTTTCCATCAGTGGGGGGTCACTGGGGGCAAACTTCAAAATTTGGAAGGTGGAAGGGTAGCAGCTTCTGATGGGCTGGGACACTGTCTGTGACCAGGGTAGCAGCAACAGCTCTATGGCTGGAGCCACAGGGACCTAAGGATATAAGAAGCAAGGTCTGCAGGAACATGTAATACCTTTTAATAGACCAGCTCGTACAGTTGGGAAAAAAAAACCTCCACAACCACACAAGCCTTCCTTTGAGCTGCTGCACCTTCATGTCTGGCCATTTTTTCCAGCTGCATCACTTGGTCTATTAAAAGACATTACGGCTCCCTGCAACCCTCATCTCTTCCTCAGGCCAGTCCTCCCTTCCCAGGATGAGGAATCTGGGTCATCCCAATGCTCCCATTGTGACACCTGACAGCCTGCTGAAGTGAAATAAAGATTTTGGCCCTAACACGTGGAGGAGCAGTTAATGTCCCGTGTACAGGGCAGGGAAAGCTTGTTGTCCTTCAAGGCCAGGAGTTTAAAGCTGCCGCTCTTCCTTTGGTGCAGGTGGGTGTCTGGATGCCTGGATGACCCTCAGGAGCCTTTGGGCACCTCTGTTGACCAGCAGAGAGCACAGGAGTGAGGAAAGCAGGGCTGGTGGGATGGGATGTGGGACTACTTTGGAAAAAAACAAACAGTCACTCCTCTGGCCATCCCAGAGAGGGGATACCCAAGTAGACGAAAGCAGAAGCACATCCTGCATTCCACGCCCAAAGCCTACAGACCACTTTTCATGGATACAGCCTTCCCTATCTGCTCACTGGGTCTGTATCCCATACCAAGCATCTCTCAGTGCCTCAGGAAGAGCACAGGTCCCTTTCCCACAAGGCACAGAATGCTCCTGCCTGACCTTTACCGGCGGCTCCAAGGAGGTCGCCGCGTCCTGACGGCTCCGAGCAGCTGGGGTTGGAGCTGCCCAGCAAGGCCAGGCTGGAAGGAAGGAAGGAAGGAAGTTATAGCAGGCTTTTAAATAGTGCTATGCAATACCTGAAACTTCTATTTCTGTGCACAGATAATATGGTTTCCATATTCTCCCCCGTGCCCAGCAGGCCAAGCCATTCAGGCTCAAACTGAACCAGCAATAACCCACATTCTTCACCAGTTAAACCATTAAAGCTGGTTGAGGCCTCCGTGTAGGACAACCCCAAGATGTGCCTTTCACCAATGAAGAAACGTACAGATTTCCTTCTGCGTTGGCTTCCCACTTCTGTTTTCCTTTTATAATCAAGCAAGGTCTTTAAATTTTAAAAAGACCACAGGTGGAAGGTGGTCTCACAGCCACCTGGGCAGCCCCCACACCACATGCAGTCGCCACACTGGTGTGCTCCCAGACACCGGTGTAGTTTTCTGCAGGATGTCTTGCAGGCATCTCTCATCTGAGGTGGGCAACATGGTTCTATCCATGCTTGAGCAGGAATCCAAAGAACCACAGAAGCAGGAGGCTCCTCAGGGCTTTCTGAGGGTCGTACACAGCAGAACCACGCCGGGTTTGCAGTCCTAACAAGGAGAGCTCGGCTGTGATTATGAAAACACCTTCACAATTGGAGAAAAACCAAGATAGAACTCCTTCAAACTAAATGTACCTGCTTCTCCACAGCAATTAACTAGTTAAAAAGAGTAATTTTTTCTTCCTTGAGGTTTTCCCATCTCATATGCCATATGGCAGACCTGTCACCAGGCAAGAAACAAGCTGGACACCTTCAATGAGAGGAGTTTTCCTCTCTGCCTGCTCCACACACCTGAAAGCTCACGAGCTCCAGCCCCACCAGCCAGTGAGGATATCAAAGCTCTGCTCTCCCTTTGGGACCAACACTGCTGGTGATGATATTGCCAAGGACGGTGTTCATCCACCACGGATCACAACAGCAGGGCTGCCACCTCTTCTGAATGACCATAAACTAGGAGTAATATTCCAGTTTTCCCACCTCCCCACAGGGCTGGGACAAGCAACAGGTCCTGCATGTACAAAACAACTCACTTCCCACGAGGACCCAGCGTAATTCCAACACTTGCTCCAGCACATCAGCCCAGCACGTTACATTCAGCCTGGCGCTGCCGAAGTCACGGTGACACCCCTTCCCAGACAATGGATTTCACCTGTGCCCCGTGGAATGGGAACATCCCACACCTTACAGCCAACTCTTACAGCCCATTAGGGCTGTGCAACCCCATCACCCCACAGTCCCTTGTGCACCAGCACCACCACGATCCCAACACCAACAGGGAGACCGGTGGGGCACCTACAAGCAGGGAGCCACCATTTCCAAGCCAGCAAACACCAGGAAAACATACCAGGAGCCACCTCAGGCCCCAGCCCGGGAGAGAATCGAGCCCAAATTAGTTATGCAAACACCAGGATTCAAAGAGTAACGAGTAGCACAGGGTTCGACGATGACGCTGCCGCTCAGGACTTGGTGTGATTCCACTGCCAGGCGAGTGACAAGCGCCAGACTGCAAAACAGGCACGGAACAGGAGCGACTTAAGGAATACAGGTGGTTTCATGAAGAAGGCAGTGCTAACTATAATGGAGACTATAAAGCCATTTCTTAACAGATCTTGCCTGCAAATCTCAGCTAACCTTCCCTCCACTGCAACAGGAATGCCTGGAAAAGCGCACGTCCTGCTCCACAGGATGCATGGATATGTCCATCCCATGGGAAAGCCTATGGGGGGGAGTGTTTGGTGAGACAGAGGCACTCAACGGACTCAGGTTTTGGCACGGGAGTTACAAACGCCCTGGAGGAGCAGCTCGTTTTTGGAAGGAACGTCAGGGAACGCTCAGGCAGCTCCACCAACGCACTGAGGGACAGGCAGGAGGCGGGATGCCAAGCTCCACGCGCAGGAGAAATCCTCGCGCCAAGCAAGGTCAACGGGATTACAGGGGCAAGCACGAGCAGAGATGGGAACGGCCCAACCTCTGGTCTGCACCCCGGCTTACCCCGAGGAAACGCCACCACACAGGCGGCCCTACGTGACTCCGTATCCAGGAACACTTCAAACCCCTGTTTTCCTTCATAATTCGCCTTTCCTGACGTCAGGGTGCAAATCACCCCCCCCCCCCGATCCCCTGACCGACCGAGGGGACTGGGCTACCACCAAAACCACGGTATGAATGAAAAGCTGCAATGCTGATAAAAACATAACATTAAAAATACACGGCTCGCGCCGACTCGCAGAGGGAATCACGGCAAGGCTGTGCTGAGGCTGGCATGGGAGGCTGCAAATGTATCCTGGAGCAGCCCAGCTTGGAGAGCGTGTTCCCGCCAGGCCCCCCCCGGGGCCTCCCCACCCAAAGGGATGGATGAGGTTCATCCCTTCAGCTGTTTATAAAAGCAGCAGTATTGCGCCCAGACGCAGCATTCCTCCCTCTCATTCCTACAAGCTATATAAGGGAACGGCCAATTCCAGCCTGGCTCCCCCGTAGCCAGCCCCGATCCCTCTGCGCCGGAGCAGCCCCGGGCTCGGTTTCCTGCAGAAGGACTTAAATCCGTCCTCCTCGGTGGAACACGGCGCTGCGCTGGACCTTGTCATCAAATGGCAGCGCAGGCAGCTGCCAAACCCTGCCGGCTCGGTGCTCTAATAGGGAACAGCTGGAGAAGGACCCTGCATTCCTCCCGCCCCGTCCACACCGGGGGCTCTGTTCGGGATCCGGCCGCAAGATTTCCACCCATCACGGAACGCGGCCGCTCCCCGGCACCGCTTCCCCGTGCACAGCCCAAAACCCAAATCCCAATTCTCCCCCCCGGGGATTTTAAATCAAAGGCATGCTTTGCAACGCGCGGGGGTTGCTTTGCCTTTTTTTGGGGGGTTGGGTGGGTTTGTTTTACGATTTGGGATTTATTTTTTTTTTAAGGGCTTGGAGGAGCAGAACCACGCAACTAAAAGACACTAAAATACGTTTTGCCTTCCCTGCTCTGCCTCTGTGTTGCAAAAACTCTACTTTAAGCGACTTGCATCCCTGTTTACATCCCCCCCTCAGGAACACACACATCTGTAACAACCACCCCCCCATAAATAAATAGAGGAGCACACGGCACGATTCGCCCGGCGCTTGTGCCATTTCCATCCTGCTCTAACTCCATTTACTTCCCAGGAGTTGAGCAACTTGTAATGGTGAATAAATAAAAGCAAAATACACTTTCCGTAGCCACGCACATTTTCTGTCCTGCACCCTCAGAAACCTAAAACAGTCCACTCGTATTTTCTTAGAGCTCTGCTGAAACACAAGAGGGGTATTCAGAGCTGCAGGGGAAAAAAAAAATGCGTCCAAACAGGATCTGAATGATGAAATAGGAATTGCCACATTTGGGAAAAAAAAAATTAAAAAAAAATAGGATAACCCAGTTACCCAGACCTTTATACAACAACAGTTCGTCTGAGGTAGCGATGGGCTGCTTTTGCATGTTGCAGAGAGCAAATCAAGCCACGTTGTCCAAAAGAAGCCCAGAAAATCCAGACTCTACGTGACCTGACTTACTTATTTCACAGGAAACTGCATGGAAGGAGGAAGGGGGGGGACGCGGGGGGGAGAGGGAAAAAAAAACCAACCAAAAACCCACCAATCATTCATGCTACCGTAGTTACACCACGCCATGGAGCGGAGTAGTTTGCTGTGAAAAAACCAAACTGAAACAAGCCGAACCCCGTTTGGAAAATAAAACGTGAGGAGAGGAGAGGAGAGAAGCTGTTCCCGCAATCGAGCCGGGGAGCCCCCTCTCCCACACCGCACTCGTTTCTTGGGTGCATTTTTAACATTTTTCTATAAATTTTGACGGCGTTTAGAGCACGGCTCGGGAGAGGGTCTCGGCGAAACGCCACTCACCGGGGTTGTTGGCCTCCCCTTCGAGGATGTGGAGCTCGGTGCAGTCTGCCAGGGAATGCTCGAGGCAGAGCTGGAGGAAGCGAGCCTGGGTCCGGCTGACGCGTTTGAGCAGGGAGAGCAGCGCAACAGTCTGCTCGCACTCGTTCCAGCCCTTGAACCACCCGGCCAACACGCCGACCTGGTCTCGGAACATCATGGTGAGCCGGAGGGACAGCTCTGCGGGGAGAGAATAAATAACCGGGACAGCCTCCCTGCCCCCGGCGCCGCCGCCGCCACCGTGCTCGGGGCAGGGCTATTCAAAATAAAAATAATAATAATAATAATAATAATAATAATAATAAAAATAATGGTGATTAAAAATAAAAAGGGGGGGAAAAAAAGAAAAAAAAAAAGAAGAATCTCCTCTGCGACGCGCGAAGGGCGGGTTTGTTTCGGACGCAGCTCTCGGCCTGGGCTGGGGTTTTTATTTTTTTTTTTTTTTTTTGCTCCCTCTCTTCTGGCTTCGGTGCAGCGCTGGATTCCTGGAGGGAGGGAGAGCGAGGGAGGGAAGGAAGGAGGGAGGGAGACGGTGGGGCCAAAAAAAAAAAAAAAAAAAAAAATTAAAAAAAAATTTTTTTAAAAAGCCCAAAAAAAGGAAAACCCCAGCGTCAGGGCTGCCCCCTGCGAGGGGGCGGGAGGGGGGAGCGACCTCCTGCCGGCGGCGGCTTCACACCTGGAACAGAGAGAGAGGAGGGGGCGTCAGCGGGGCTGGGGGGGACGAGCGGCAGGAGGAGGAGGAGAGTGGGGAGGAAGGCTCGCCCGCAGCCCCGCTGCCTCCCTCCCACCGCTCACCCGCGCCTTCCCACACCCTCACCGCGATCCCCCCGCACCCGCCACCACCGCCCTGAGGGATCGGGGGTGTGCGGGGGGGAAAACACCCGACACCCCCCTCACTGCAGTACAACACCACCCCCCCCCCACACACACGCACAAAAGTTCCCCCCTCACCCCATACACACTCCATAAAAACACACTCACCTGACTCACGCCGGCCCCGGGGATCGGGGGAGGAGGGGGCGGCGCGGCGTTCTGGGGTGGCCGTGCCATGTCCGCGGGATGAAGGGGGTGGGGGCGGGGGGGGAAACGAGGGAAGGAGGCGGGAAAAAGGGAAGAAGTGGGAGAATGGGGGGGGGCGCGCGCGCGCTCCGCGGCGCGAGACTGAGCCCGGCCGCGCGCCGAGCCCCCGCTCCCCTCATGCCGCTCATTTGCATACGGATGACGTCATGCGGGGGTGGGCGGGGCCAGCCGCGCGCTGGGGGCGGGAGGGGGGCAGAGGGACGCGCGTCCCCCGTTCCCGTCCCACCTCCCGCCCCCGCCCCGCTCGCGTTCCCGCCACTCCCCCCGGAATTTTGGGTGCTCCCTCCGGCACGGGGAATGCTGGAAAACACACTACGGCCTCCCCCCCGCTCCCGCCACCCCGCCCCGCTCCACGTCCTGCGGATTTCCCGCTGGAGGAAACCACCCTCTAGCGGGCTGCGGGGTAATGGCAGGGGGTGACTTTTTTCGGGAGGGAAAAAACCCCTCCGCTTTGGGCTCTGGTGAAATGTGGCACCGGGCAAAAATGGCAAATTTTAAAATGGTTATATTTTAAATTTTAAAATTATTATTATTTTTTTGCGGCGTTTTTTAAATATACATTTTAAATATACACCTCTAAGCACTGCGTGTGTAGAGAAGGACGGGATTTGTGTTTGGGGTTATCCATTTCCCCGGAGAGGGACAGGATTTGTGTTTGGGGTTATCCATTTCCCACACATACTTTATTTCCCTTTCCCATTTCTCATTTATTTCCATTTATTTATTATTTTTTTTTCATTTTTTCATTTATTTTCATCTCATTAGAAAGGATGAAGGATACAGGTATATCCAAGAAGGCAAATGGAGAAAGAGAAATCCCTGTGCACAAGTGTTTGGAAGAACACACCAAAATGCTGAGCGGAACTGAACACTTTTTAAAGCATAAATAAAGGTATGAAGTGCTTTTATCTGTGGGCTTTTTATTTGGAATAAAAATGGTTTGTGGGGAATATCTGTCATTTCAAAGCCATTCCCTCTTGTCCTGTTCCTCCATGCCCTTGTCCAAATTCCCTTTCCAGCTCTCTTGGAGCCCCTTTAGGAATTTGTTTCCCAAAAGTGGCTGTGTGTTCTGGCGGGTGCTGGAGAAAGGAAAACTCTGTGTTTGTGCTCCCTTTGGCTGAAAAAGCAACACACCTGTCTGAATCTGTCCCTTTTGGGGGAAAAATATTAGCAGGGAGACAAAGGCCGCCCAAATCCACCGGGAACACCCGGTCCTGTGTGCTGGAGCATCAATCCCACAGCAGGATGACGAGATGAGGATCACCAGGTGGGATCATCAAGCATAAATGGTCCATCTCACCACAGTTCTGAGTTTGCCTTTAGCTCTCAGTCTGTCTGGTGACTAATTAAACAAACAGGAGCGGAGTTCCCTGCCAACACACCCCGGCCATCTGTCTCATCCTACGGCTCCATCCTAACAAAAGCTCCATCAAAGAGCCCCTTTCCCCTCACCTAAGTGCTGACAGTCCTCCTGCTGTCGGGTGTGCTGTGGGATGGCCCATGGAGCCATGAGGATACACCCTCTGTATGGGAATGAGGAGGGAGGCTCCTTCCACCGCCAACGCGATCGGCACAAGGGGCTCCAGGCAGAGCTCCACGCGCTCAAACGCTGCTAATTTAAGGGTTGCCAAGCTGGCTTTGCCAAAAAACGCCTCCCAGGTTCTGCATTTTGCACATCTAAAGTGATAAGGGCAGCGATCAGAAGGATATTTAGGGATGAAACATCAAATACATCCCCCTGCAAGGCTGGGAAGGTCGGCAAGAGACGGATCCCCCCACAACAGCAAGGGGTGGATGAACAAGAGTAACAGACCGAAGCCAGAGTCTGTCCCATGCTCCAGGAGACACCAAGAGCCTGCCTGCTAATTAACCCCAAAATAATCACCCACCACTCAAGACCCCACGGCTCCTATTCCCCAGAGTGTCCCCGGGAAGCAGATGTGGAGGAGTAGAGACTCTGACGTCACAGCACACGCCGGGATGTTTGGAGGTTTCTATGGTAATTAAAAAATAGATCTGTGACCCGTGGAAGAAATTCCTTGCTGCATTCCTTGCTTTGCAGGGTGTGTGCCCCTAAAGATCCTTCCTAGCTGGAGGAAAATCTCCTTTCCTGACTGCAGTGGGGGGACTCACCAACTCAACCAACCCATGGCCAACTCTCTTCCCTGCAGATGGAGCATCCAATGTGCAGACACTCTGCCCTGGGAGCAAAGACACCCCATGCACAAACACAAGGCAGAGCGAGTGGGAAAGCAGGATAACTCTATTTTATATGGTAATTCCTGTGGGACCTCGGGATCTTTGTGGATCCAGCGGGAGCATTTCTGCAGGGCTGCAAGTTTTGGGGTAAAAAGTGGAGGCTGTCTGTTGGCTGGGGCAGAGCTGATGTTGTACCAGGGTGGGTCATGGAATCACAGAATATCCTGTGTTGGAAAGGACCCAAAAGGACCATCAATTCCAACTCCTGGCCCTGCCCAGGACACACCAACAATCCCACCCTGTCCCTGAGAGCGTTGTCCAAACACTCCTTGAGCTCTGGCAGCCCTGGGGCCGTGCCCACTGCCCTGGGGAGCCTGTTCAGTGCCCAACCACCCTCTGGGGGAAGAACCTTTTCCTAATATCCAGCTTAAACCTCCCCTGGCACCACTCCAGTGGTTCCCTCAGGTCCTGTCACTGGTCACAGAGAGCAGGGATCGGTGCTGCCCCTCTGCTTCCCCTTGAGAGGAAGCTGCACCCTCCATGACGTCTCCCCTCAGCCTCCTCTTCTCCAGGGCTGGAACAGCAACATTTAGGCATCCTCTACATTTCTGTTTACCATTTCAGAGAGAAAACAAGAGGCCTGTGGTAACATTAGCCAAGCAGGTGGTCTAAGCAAATTAGAGAACCTTGACGATTCCCGAGTTCAAAGGAAGCCATTGCTCATCCCCGTCAAAGCTATCTGATAACATATTTAGCTGGAGAAAGGATGAGTATATCCACCAGCACACAATGGCCCAGATTTCCTAGCTCATTAAACCCAAATATTAGTGAAAATATCATGGTAAGCAGGCTGAGATAATTAAACACAACATCCCTTCCATTTGTTCCTAAACACAGTGTGGGAATTGGCCACTGGGATGCTAATGATTTCCTTACATTGGGTGGTGAAGTGGAGCTGTACAAAAAGCCCTGACAAAAACAAACAGGCAAAAAGAAATATAAGAAAATTAAAAATAAAAAGTAAATAATATAACCAGTGTGGGTTTGTATTTCCAGACTGGATGAGGCAGATGTTAAAAATCACAGAGTCCCAGAATGGTTTGGGTTGGAAGGGACCTCAAAGCCCAACTTATTCCAACCCCTGCCATGGGCAGGGACACCTTCCACTAGACCAGGTTGCTCCAAGCCCTGTCCAACCTGGCCTGGAACACTTCCAGGGATGGGGCAGCCACAGCTTCTCTGGACAACCTGTGCCAGAACCTCACCACCCTCACAGGCAGGAATTTCTTCCCATTTTCTAATCTAATCTCCCCTCCTTTAGTTTTAAACCTCTTCCCCTGGTCCTATCACCATCTGCCTGTGTAAGAAGTCACTCTCCCCAAACACAAAATTTGGATTTACACCCCTGTGCCCAGTCTGGGGGTTTGGGGTAACCTTGGGTCTGAATTCACCATGAGAGCAGCAGCGATTCTCCAGGGTCTGTCCTGCCTGGGGCTGGGGAAGCAGGACACAGATCTCCTGCACTAAAGAAATTAGAGGAAATGACAATCCCAGGCCTGGAATACCCAATCTAACTCTATCACACTGTGTTTTTCTGGCATCATTTTGGGGCACTGCTCATCTTCCAGCCTTAATGCATAATCTTCCTTGTGGATCAGCTCCCAGTCTGGATGTACAACCTGTGTTTCTTAAGCCCTGTTAGTGGAAAATTAGGTGTCGCAACCCAAATCCTCATGAAAGCAGCATGGGCTGACTCCCCTGATGCCAGAGGCAGTGGGGGATGATGGCTGGGAGGAAAAGCACCTTTAGCCCTCTGGCTTGAGCTGCGACAGCGGATCTGAAGGGGAAAGAGAAGAAGTGGCAGCATCTGAGTGCCAATAGCTGGTGAAAGAAGCACTGGGAAATACTGGGTATAGCATGGGAAACATTGCTCATATGTTTGTTTAGCCACATTGTCAAGGGGTTGCTGTGAGAAGACCCCGTGTCATCTCCAAAAACACCGTCATGCTGAGCTGGGAGTGCGGGGGAATCTGCCTCTCCTGCAGTGTCAGCTCTGCCCTGCACGCTTGATGAGTTGGCTCACAGGGACCCCAGGGACTCAGAGCCAACAAAATAAATCATCCTAACTAATGGTTCTCAAAAAAACACCACTGGCAAGTGTATCACAGGCTGCTCTTGCTGCAGTGATGCTGACAGAACCGGTGATGAAGAGGAGCCGGGGAAGAAGGGGATGCGAAAAGGGACGTGAAGGATTTATTTAACCCGGCAGCCAGGAAGTTCCACTGGGCTGCTCCAGTTTCAAACAACCCCTTGAATATAAACACTGCAAAACCTGACTGACGGCAAAGTGAGTATCTGCAGAATTTGACTTTGCAGGATTGAGATCTGTACGTGTGTGTTGAGGGCTAAGCCCGGCCCAAGCCCCGCTGGGCCTTCGGGGCAGCAGTGCTGGTTTGTGGGGCACACCGGAGATGTCCCATCCCACCCTCCCCAGCTGGCACAGCTCCACTCACACCTGGGATAGGTCTGCACCCCTGAGCAGCTCTGGGTCCCTCTCCATGCACACTAACAGCCCTCCTGGCGAGATCAATCCCTGGATGTCTGTATCCCATAGTCTGCCTCATGTTTACCTACAACACTCCAATTTTTCCAACCACTTCCAGCCAGGCACTGAAAGCAGCTTGTTGTAAGACTTGGAGCCGACTGAGGTTGTGTTGCAAGCAGATGGCCCTGATGAAACAAGACACTGATCCCCAAGGAGGCACCACTCAACGGAGCCGCTCGACTCCCCGGCTCCAGCAGCTCCAAGACAGGCTTGGAGATGTGCATTAGCAGCACCATGGAGGAAATTGCTTCCCTAACCACCCCTCTCAAGCAATTCTCTTTGGAAGCCTGGTTCCAGCCCAAGACACGTGTCAGCAGCACTGACACTATGGCAGTTTTCCTGCTTGGTGATTAATAATGGAGCAGCTGACAAAGTGATGGTAATCTAAGAATTTCCTTAAAGGAGAGTTGGAAGAGTTGCCAGGCTGGGTGAGGGTTTAGATGTAGGGGGAATGCCGGGGTGGAGGAAAACCTCCACACTCCCACCTGATGAACTGGAAGGGGATCCAAGCACAGAAGGCAAACACAGGTGGAAACAGCTCTCATTGATCCTCCTGCTCTTGGCTCCAAACAAGAAACACTGGAAGCTCTGCCAAAATGCCCCAAAACCACCACTCCTGCCTTCATGGGTATCGACAAGTTTCTCTGCAAGAGGTGGGAAAAGAAGACAAGAAAAGGAGAAGTTCTCATGGAAATGAGGGGACAGAAACAGGGGATAAACCCACTTTATTAAAAACCCACCTTATTATATAAACCCACCAAGGTCAGACCTGTGGGGGTTTTGTGTTCCACTCAGCTGAACCAAGGTCTACCTCCAAATCCTGCTACAAAGGGTTATGTTGCTCCAAATAAGAGACACACAAAAGACTGAAAAGCATTCCCACTCTTGTGCTTTAAGGGGCTCGTTTGGAGAAACAAGGCTCTTGATCCCAAGTCAGTGGAAACGCCTTTGGGTTTGCCTCGCCCTTGTACGGATTGATCCCATTCCCTGCAGCACAGAACTCCACAGAGTTACCACACGAGGTCACGGATCGTGTTCCAGTGTGGATGGCTGTGGTTAAAACTGGTTGCTGGCTCCAGGGCAAAGCTTTACTGTGACTGTCCCCAACTTCACCAGCCTCCAGCCACCCCCCTCTGTCCCCACCAGCTCTTTCAGGAGCCTTCAGACCACACGGGACGCGTAAATATTGGCTGTGCTGGAGGACATGGCTTTTATGGGGCTTCCTTGGAGAATTAACACCAGGAGCAACCAGGAATATTTCAGGACACCATTAAAAATGTGGCCCAGTGGAGGTCCACCTGTTCCAGCTGGCTACGCCAGATGTATCCAGAGGGGGACAGTGGAGCCTGGTCATTGGAAGCAGAAGGAGGAGGAATTGCAGAGAAATCTGCCCATTGCCAACCTGCCTGTCAAACCCAGCAATAAAGTCCATCAAATCACTGCTGAGGGTGCAGCTCTGCAAAGCCTGGAGACTTCTGAGTCCAAGAGGTGCTGTGAAATAGGTGTCCCATGGGCTGCTGCAAGTAGATCCAGCAGGTGGGTACACCAAGGTAGAGGTTGCTAAAATAAAGCTAAAATAAAGGATGCAGAGGATCCCATCAAAACATGTCATAGGATCAACAGTCCTTTGTATTACCAAAAACCTGTTTCAGGACAGAAGAAAAGGAAACAGTTTGTTAATTACAGAATCACAGAATTATTTGGGTTAAAGACCATTTCCTTCCAACCCCCTACCATGGGCAGGGACACCTTCCACTAGACCAGGTTGCTCCAAGCCCTGTCCAACCTGGCCTGGAACACTTCCAGGGATGGAGAAGTACCGGACTTTCTCTGGGCAACCTGTGCCAGGGCCTCACCACCCTCACAGCCAAGAATTTCTTCCCAATATCCCATCTAACCCTGCCCTCTGGCAGTGGGAAGCCATTCCCTTTGTCCTGTCACTCCAGGCCCTTGTCCCAAGTCCCTCTCCAGCCCTCTTGGAGCCCCTTTAGGCACTGGAAGGGCCTCTAAGATGTCGCCAGAGCCTTCTCCAGGCTGAGCAACCCCAGCTCTCTCAGACTTTCTCCATAGCAGAGTTGCTCCAGCCCTTGGAGCATCTCCATGGCCTCCTCTGGACTTGCTCCACTATCCTTTTGGTGTTGGGGGCCCCAGAGCTGAACACAGAACTCCAGCACTAATAACAGAGCATTAAATGCTGCAGAACTTGATGAAGACTTTTTGTTAAGAAGTTGGTGCTGAAAGGGAAAACTGGAACTGTCAGACTTATTTACACATTTTCATGCCTCTCGGAAGATACTTAAAGATCAAAAGACTGGAAAAGCCGTAGTCATTCTTAAATGTGAATCCACCAGCTCTTGGCAAACACCTTACTTTTGGTCCTATAGCAAAATGTAAAGGTGAGTTCTTGTGTCATTCAGGCAGAGGAGGGTTTGGGTGGTGCTGCAGCCGCTCCAGCCAGGGTTTGGTACTGACCACTTAGGAGAAAACCAGCTTTGAAAGGAAAGGCAGCAGCTGGGCTGCCAGTTTTGTCTCCGTGTACGGCAGTGGCTGGTGAATGAAAATCATCCCTTTCCAAGCTTTCCTTGGGCCATAAATCGCTGCCCTGGTCTCACTTTGATCAATGACGTGTGCTGCCATCCAGGGCTCTGTTAACCCTGGAGCAGCCACAGGAGACACGGCCGTGCCCGACTCCCTCAGGGCTCGCCCCTTCCCGTAATTATCCTCAGCCTCACTGCCAGCAACGTCCCACCCTGGGCTCCCTGCAAGCTGCTCACAGTCCATGCTCTTCCCCTGCAGGGAAAACCCTTGAAACCGAGGAACCCTCAGGAACTGGAGCCAAAAATCAAACAGCTCTGAGCACGGTGTCTGTGCTGCTCGTGGCCAGCGAGGACACAACATCTGCATCTCACAGTTCTGGTGGCAGGAGGCTGATGCAAGACAGCCCCTGGTAGATCTCCGGGGTCCCACTGCCTCCAAACTCAACAGCATCTACAGAATTGCAGGAAAAAAATGAAGAGGATAGCTATCAAAATAATTCAAATCAAAATAATTCACAATCCTCCAGCCTGTTTGTTAAAATACTGCTCACGAGGAGCTGATAGACACAGGAATAAATAGCAGGAGGAGAGAGAGAAGTGATGCATTAGGCTTCTCACCAGTCCCCTGACTGCAGCTACTATGGAGAAATCTGCCAGGAAATGTTAGATGTGAAGTGGAGATGCAATGGGAA